TCGTACTTAGAGGTTTCGTGTTGATTTTGCTGTTATGGCATTGCAATTTAATTAAATAGAACTTGAGCAGTAAAGAGCAAACAACTTTTTTTTTCTTGCTGGGCAATAAAATAACATTTGATGCAAGTGCAGGAAATAAAATAATTACAAACCTAATTGAATGATTGATTGATTGATGATGAATGCAAGCTGGTATGTAGAGCATATTTCAGTAAAAGTTTTGTAGTAACAGTTTTATTTTAACTGTTTCAGTTTACATTAATGTCTGAATTTATTTAATAATAATGTATTTGAATGAATATAAACATAATATACGTATCTGCACGATGTATTAGAGGCAACCATATAGCTTCAAAATAAAGCAGAAAATAATTTAAGATTTTATCGGCTTTGTCCACTTGATAATTCTTTTCCTACTGCTCTTATTTGGTCACTCATATATAGTCGTGAAATGCATAAAATTTTATAATAATAACTAATTTACATAATTTTAATATCTAAACTCATGTGTGATATAAATATTAGTCGAAATGAAAAAAAAAAAAAAAAAACTTTAAAAATTATGTGCTTATAATATAAAAATATTGCCTTGTATTTTCCTAACGCTAAAAATATTTCAAAAACACGTGACGTAAATATTATTTGATTTTACAATTCACAATTCCGTCCGTTGCATATTTGGCTCGATTTTTGTATGATTTACAGCTAAGACCACGCTCATTTTCACAGCTCATTTAAAAAAAACAAAAACATTTTAACAAATTTAAAGGTCAGCCCAGCTTTGGTAAATAGGCGGAAAGCGTGATTCCCACGTCTTATGTTTCCGTCGAATAGCTTCAAATTAGCATAAAGAGATATATGTTAAAAATAAGTTCAAATATGGGCATCAAGGTTTTAGCTTTAAAATTTTTAGAAGTCAAAAGCAGAAAACTAGAGCAAGTCTAAAGCTAAAAACAAAAATAATAATATAAATAAATTTTAAATTTGAATTTCTATGCCAATAGAATCGATTTATATTATTTTTTATGATTATTGAATCAGTGAACCATAAAAGCAACTTTTAGAATTTCCAAATTGAATTTATGAATGCTCGAGCGAGTCAAAGTGCATTTAATCAGACCATCAAGGGGAATCGTCGTCCTTTTTCCAGCTGCGAATGTTCTGTCACTTTCTATGTGCATTGAATATATTATGCTTTTAACAGATTTTGTTGTTGGTGTTTTTTTCGTGGTGCCACCATTAGGTGCCCCATGCCCATCCCCGTTCCCGTTCTCGTCTCATTGCATTCAATTTTATTATTTCATTTGACATTCGCTTCGCTTCGCTTTCCTCTGGCCCGACACATGGCGGATATGAGAATTGTAGGCGAGCGTTTTGTAACCAACCATGTGCACGGGCCTATTGGCTAAAAGTGGGCCCATAGAACGTGCTAGTGCGAAAGCGATTGAGCGGAAGAGGGTGCAGACGGCTGGCAGGGCCCTGTGGTTAGCTCTCTGCGTGTGGCCGTGTTGGCTCGTGCTGCGCCACCTAAGTGCTGAATGTGGGCTGACTCGTTCCAGTGTCAAGTGTAAATGCAATTTTCAAATACGCAGCGTGTGCAGAAATCAGCGAATGAAAGCAAAAAGCGTTGTTTGTTTCTATTGATTTTCCTATTTCCCTTCCCTTTTCCCATCTAACCAGCTATCGTTGAACAAAGCCGAAGGCCGTTGGCGGGTCGCCGTACATAAGATGTCAACAAAAGCGATATCGACACAGGCCCAATATCATTTCGAGCTGCGACTGGGGCTAACCCACAAAACGCGTGTTGTGTCTAAATTTAAATATTTATTTATGCTGCCAGCCAAAGGACAAAAATATACAACAATAAATTGAGTTTATTTTTTATGGCGCTCGTCTGTCTCCTGGGTCCGCTTAAAAAAAGGTGTGTCGCATTAGGCGAATTAAAGCATATATTTTATTTCATTTAAGGCTCGGCATAAAATTAAATTAAAATTACTGAAAAGCTTAAAGTTTAATTTTTAAATAAATTTTTTAATTTTTTAATAAAGTATATAGAATATCTTCGACTTTAAGCTTTTCAGTAATTTAAATTTAATCTCTATTTAATAATTTTTAATTATAATTATAATATTAAAAAAAATTTCTGCAATTCTTAAAGATTTCTAGCAGCTTTTATTTCATATATGTATATTATATACTTTTACTTTTTATACATACACATTTAATGTGGTAATCTAAATGTGCACGCGTGTTAGTGTACATGAAAGTCGCATAGTTAATGGATCGAAACTGAGGCGCTGAGGTGAGAGCAGGCTCGCCTGGAATAAGTAGCTCTGCTCATGCATACGCTGTCACTTGACATGCCTGACTTGTAGGGTAATTATATACACACACGACTACACACACACACACTCACACCACTACACACCTACACACACACGCACATAGGTGTCCTCCACACACATCCACACCCTCGCTCTAATTATAGTGAAACTTTCCTAGATTTGACTGGCATATATTTTTCAGTTCAGGTATTTTCATTTCAGGCATCGAAATTCTTGGCTAAAGTAATGGCCGTAAATAGTTAAAACGAAGCCACAGCCGGCACGGGAGGCAACTGAGGTGAGTGGCACAGCTGCGAGTGGGCATAAAAATACGCATTGATTGGAGTCAACATTTGGCGCTGATGGCTCACGGCCTTGTCCCCAAGGCTTTGCCATGTGACATATGCGACAAATTTGTGGCTATGTGCATGGCCAAGTGTCATATGAATCGTGGCACACGCATGGCCACTTATGCCCTGCCATGCCCATCTACCACTGAGCGTAACCCATGAAGTTATATTTGCCCCCTTTTGTTTGAGCTGCTCTGCGTGGAGGGAATCCTATTAGCTTACTGTGCTTCTCAGGCTCGAGTTCGAAGTAAAACAATTGCGTAATATGATTTTCGGTAACTGTATAAACCGCAATCAATTTGCTATTTGTGGTGTTCTCTGTGCTTGGGGATTATGCTAATTGAAGAATAATTAAGCTGAATAAGCAATCAAAAAGTTTCTTGGTCATTTAGTATTCACATAGTTCAAGAAAATACAAGTACGATTTACATTATGTATATATGATAAAGACCATTAACTGGTATTTATTGTGTCTCTTTATGAATAAGTTTAACTGAAGATATTTTTTTTATTTTATATCTGGCAAATATTATCTGCATAATTTTCTAGGAAAAATTACTTGACTCTAAATGTAGTCAAAGAAGCCTAGCTTCCCATTCAAAATCTTGGCTTTGAGTATATGTAAATTAAATTTATTTTATATATATTATTGATATTAAAAATATTTTAGATTTAAATTAAAGGACATTTTAAACATTTAATTTTCACATTTGGCATTTTATTCTGCAGACATTATCAAACTTTTTATCTATAATTAAATTTTCATTTAACAACTTTAGCGAAACATCAAACTTTTTCTGTTGAATATTAAATTTCAATTTTTATCATAATTTCTCAAGCGACCTTAGATTGCTTGCAAAATGTTTTGCATGTGCTCTGGCTCTGAATTTTTCTGGCAGATAATTTATTGATTCGTTATATAATTCGATTGAAAACTCGTTTACGTACTCTGCCGCAGCCTAATCAGGGCTGGCACATTATCAAAAGCGTCTGAGGCAGGCTTGGCACTGACTTGGCTTGGCATATCTGAAAATTAGAATGCAGCATCTGCAAATGGCAATGTCGCCTAGAAAGGCGGCACTTGAGTGACCTCCTGACCCGCTTTACAAGGCGACATGCAGGGTGGAAGACCCTTATATGAATTCGTTACAAGAGAGTGAAAGGCTGAGATACTCTGTAGGGGATGCAAGACGGAGTTGATTAGTTCACTGCGCCAATGTTGATACTAAAAAGTTGAACTATATAAGTTGTTTTGTAATATATTATTTAATTCTTATTACGCCTAATCAAGCAGCCATAATCTGAGACACAGCTATAAATCGATATCTCTGGCAGCAGTAAATGCAAGTGGCTCCAATTCAACGTAATTTCACACTTGATATACCCATTGTGCCGCCTCCATTCGCATATCGCTTGCAAGCACGTTCTTATCAACAAAGCGCTTTCAGACTTTGAGGCAGCCGCAGATTTCCCAAACGCTTTCACTCTCAATGTCAGAAGCTTTTGTTACTTCCCTGACCGTTTCGTCTTACAAAAGGTGCACAAGCTGGCATAAAAGTAACAAAATATGATTTATTTGTTTTGTTTTGTCGTGTTTTGGTTAGTTTTCGAGGAAAACAATTACAAATTAATCAAAATGCGAAATGTGTTTGTTATGCTTGACACAGAGTAGGCAATGTGAAACATATGAGAGAGCTGGTGGACTTGAAGTTACCCTATATAAACTGCATAAGGTACCTAAGCATTAATTTCATTTTTAGACTGTGGTCCCATCCTTAACATGAGTTTAGATTTCAATTTCTTATCAATCAGTGAATTTGTCAATCAATCAATCACTCAATCAAATAATCAATAAATCAATGAATTGATTTATCAATCAGTTCCTCAATTAAACTTGAATAATCCAAACCATATATACGGATTCTAACTTTCAGAATATCCAATAAAAATGCTGTTAAATGTTTTTACTGCTCTAGCTTTTATATCATATATATGATATATATATATCTAAAAATATATCACCCTGATAAGTAAGTAGATACATCATTATGATTAGTATATAGAGTATACGCTCGCATACATACATATATTTGAGCTAAATTAACCAGTAGATAGTTCACACGCAACGACTAATCTGTGCGAGTTGCTTAATTGCCGGAATTTAGCCAAAAACCAACACGCCCCGTTTGAAACGCTTAGAATGCAAAGGGGTAAATCAAAACGTAAAACTGTCAACCTTAACAAAAATGTTGGCCTGTTGCCACCCGCAATCCGCAATCCGGCAGCCGCACCCGGCCTTTTAGCAGTTGAACTAGAAGTAACTTACCGTATTTGCCAGGAAGCTCTGGTCCAGCTTTAAGGGCGAAAAGTTGGCAACAGTAACAGTAACTGCTGCTGCTGCTGCTGCTGCTGAAGCTTACTGACCCAGTTAGTTACTACGGCTGCTGCTGCTGCTGCTGTTGGTTCTTTAAATGCTGCTCATTTGGTAGTATTTGTCTTTGGATTTGCAACGGTGGTTTGTCTGGATCGTTATCGAGCTGAATGCTTTGCCCGTGCTGTGGCAGTGTTTGTGTTTTCAATTAGTTGCCAAAGCTCTGCTAGCAATTACAGTTAGGTTAGATGATTGCTGTTGTCACAGGTGCGTTGGCTGACCTGTGCGAGATGTTGGCTTTCATTTATTTTTATAAATTTATCGATTTTCGCTTTGGTGTTTTTTTGTTGCCATTCACAAGAATACATATATTGGCATTTAGATTGGGCTACACATAAATCCGGCTAATAAACATTTACTTTGCTGTACTACGTTAACTTTAAATGCACTTCGTTAAGGGTACGGTTCAGAGGATTGATTAACACATACACATAAATATATATATACACATAAATAGATAAAAGGTAATTACAAATTTTTTATTTGTATTTAATTGGCTTGGTTGTATTTGTTTATTTTTTATTTATTTATCAACATTTTTTTTTCGATAAACTTTTTTATTTTATTGTTGTTGCTGCTAAACGATTTTTCTTGCAAATTTCTTGACCAGCAGCTTTCGTGCAGGTTTCCGCCCGAGCTGAAAAAACACGTCCGCACTGTGCCACGAGCCAGGAGAACCTGAAAATCAGTACACATACTGCCCCATAGACCTAGACTCGGCTTGGCGAACGCACGCACGCACACACATACTAACACACACACAAACACTCTCTGGCGCGCCCTCTCTTTCTGTGTGCGCTCTCTTTCGCTTTGGCTCTGTGTTCATAACACTTGTTCTCTTGCGTCGCCGCAGCACCCACGCGGCATCCTGTGACATTTGCAATGTCACAGAGAGACAAGCCAAGAGAGCGGGCACAAAAGGTTTGACGCGAGAGCTGCGTGTGTGTGTGTGTGTGGGTGGGTGAGTCGGTGAGTGGGATGCCTACCCGAGGGTGGCTGGGCAGCCGCCTACAATTTGTTTTCATTTTGTTCTTTGCCTGGGGGCCAACTCCTGTGGGGCGTTCTCTTCTTATGATATATCAGTGATGTGCCAAGCACAAATGCTCGTCATGTGCTATCATGAATTGCTGGGATGTGCCATAAAGTACAGGGTATGCGACACAGTCAAGGCCAATTGCTGATAAGCATTATGAGCAACAGCCAAATGAAAAAGCATTCAAAATAACAAATTTTACAATGTAATTGAAGACGCAAATTGAGTGGGCAAAGAAAGGAAAGAATACGACGAAAATTGTATTATTATTATAATTATTATTATTTATTTTATTGATTCAAGCTGTGTTACTGCCATTTGTTTATTTTCATATTTTAAGAGAATTTGAAGCTGTTCTGATGAGGCTTACAAATAGGAATGTGTTGTTATTTATTTACTTATTTTTGTTTAAATAATATTTATATTTTCCATTGGTATTTGTTATTTATTTGTTTTTTTTCTTTTTTTTTTTATATATATATAATTATTTATTTTGTAAATAATATATTATTTCCATAAGTAAAGGCTTTTCTACACTAAAGTGGATTAGAGAGTATTGGATAATAATATGTATAGGCAGACTTGCTTGTAGGGTGGGCTAGGCTAACGGCTGAGCGTATTTAAATATTGAGTTGCAAATGAAAATGCGAAGTTTTTCGATGAGTATGATTTGCATAAGCTCTTGAGTCTATTGATTCTGATGAGTATGCTCACAGTTTGTTGTAATAGGTTGTTGAATGTGTTTTTTTTTTTTTTTTGTTATGTCTCATTCGTGTTCAGTGTTCAGTTCAGCACCTTTGATACATCTGAGCTAACGGCATCTGTTGTATATATTTAGTTAACGAGTTATTTAGCAATCCGTAGCTCTTTATTCCTTGACTCTAAATCATATACATGATCATTATTTTCTATATACCCCATCATACATATACACCATAATTGTATATATGATTTATTGAATAGCCAAAACATTAGCTTTGCGTTATTTTCTATATTCTACTCTAATCGACTGTATAATATGTTGACTTGTATAATATATGCTTAGCTAAGTACTGGATCTAATTCAGCTCCATACTTCATGCTAATTTGCTAATTAGAAAGTCTGCCAGGCCACATTCTTCCTTTACGAATTCGTCATACTTTTCCATAGCTCACAGTTTATGGTCGCATTTCATATCCATGCAATCTCGCACCAGTCTCTACTCACATCTTTTACAACATTGTTCACTCACACTTTTGAATATCCTTATGCACGATTAGTCTTTAAGAGATTTTAAAGTTAAAGTGTAACCCCATATTATACAGTTAAAAGACAAGATTAATCATTAATTTTGCTGCCTTATGCAGGTATCATGAACAATATTGTTGTAAATTTGAATGCCATTGCTAACATTAATCGTCTTGATAAATATGTATTCAAATCTGCTCTGACACGCCCTCCAATTCAGCCCAGGTACTAATGATCGTAACGGGGTCGAGAGCCCTGCGGTCATGGGATGATTGTGGAGCAGCCTATTTACCTTTTGAGTAGTGAATATAATGTGAATGAGAGAACTTTGTCCAGTTCATCCGCTCTGCGACATGTGAGCTGTGCATGTAAAGCAACATCAATCTGGACGCTTGTCGCGATAGCCCGACTTCCAGTTGGCTATCAATCAGAGAATTGTCCGCGTCTTAGCGAACAATGCGAAACACTTTGAATATCGCTATCATCAGGTGACCGCCCATTTGGGGCATTTGGTCATTATGGGCAGGTGTATGCGTGTTATTGACTGGCAAAGTGTGTGCCGCTCCCACACCCAATGTGGGACTTATAAAGCAATTGAATTGTCGCTGCTGACGTAGGCAAACTGGCTAAAAGGGGTTTCTCGCCAAGCACACTCGGACACTCATCACCATTGTGAACATTCTGTTGCTATCTGCCATGAAATAGTTCGGGATTTGGGGCTTGGGTGCAATCGTTGTTTATTATCTTACTGGGTGCGGGGGGCTAATGCCGGTGGTTGCTTATGCTAATTAGGTGTAGGGCTAGGTGAAGAAGTGCTGCTGGTAGTCCATTACGTGGTCGTTGTCTCTGTCCCTGTCGTGATCTCGCTGCCTCTGCCGGCCCCTTTCCAGCTCTGCCTGGCAGGGATCGGCAGCGGCAGAGGCAGCTGATGACGAGTGTGGGGGATGCTCACGTGGCCAGCCGTGGTGCTCGGCTGCATCATCATCGTAGTACTGATCGCTGTCATGGCCATAGGCATCCGAATCTTCAGCAGAGCTGAGTCCATATAACGGACTACCATGTCCGCGCTGATGACCCCCGGGCGCCGAGGGCGGCGTGCCCATCCGAACGTAATTGGGCACAGTCCGTCGGCCTGGCCAATTACGTGGCACCACTACGGGCTTGCGGCCGGCGTAGAGCCTCGAGGGCGGCTGATGGTCGTGTCCAGCGTGTCCAGTGTGTCCAGCCTCATCGCTGCACTTGATGCCCCGCACAATGTTGTTCATGTAGATCGAGTGTGGCAGCGGCTCCCGCTGCTTGGGCCTCGGCCTGGGCATGATCTGCTTGTTGCTCACGTAGAAGTCGCGTCGGTGCGGCTGCTGAGGCATCGTGCCAATCCGCTGGCGCGGCTTAGCAAACTGACCCTCATACAGAATGGGCTCCACAATGTTGCCCAAGGGCTTGCGATAACGATTAGGATGACGCATGTTGCCTGCGAAGGGAATAAAAAGTAGTTTGGTTCTCTTTCTGCCAATTTCAGCTTGAGCTCTTCGCTTACCCATGCCCCCGCTCGACGTGAACTGTGGACAGAGATTCGTGTTCTGGTCCTCGTTGTCCTCGCACTCTTCGCTGGCTAATTCGAGTTAAATTACTTAGTTAATCTCATTTCTCGAGAAAGTTAGCCTTGACCTTAGTCAGCTTCCACCTACCTTCAGATTCGCAGTCTTCCGCTTCCTCATGCGCCTCGCTCTCTGCGTTTCTCTCTGCAGTTTCCTCATCTGCCGATGTTTCGATGCAGTCATTTGCTGACGCTGGAATTGCCATCGCTTCCGGCCGCAATGTGCTGGATCCCGGACTGTTCTTTACAACTACCGGAGACATGTCACTCGACTGCACGGCTCCATCGTGTTTGATCGGGGGTGCATCCGGCACGCTTGCCTTTTTCTTTGAGCTCTTCTTACGGCGTCCCCTTTTATCGGATTTTTTTTGCGCATTGTGCCTGTTTTTGCCGTTCGTGGGCATGTCCACCATTGGGGTTGTTAGCTCAGTGGTTGTGCTGGCTTCAGTTGTGGTGTAGGTGGTGTAGGTGGTGCTGCTGTACGGTGTGCTGCTCATTTCAGTGGTCTCAGTGGTTTCAACTGTTGTGTTCAGCGTTGTGGGAACCGTGCTCTCGTCAGTTGTCTCCGGTTCGGTGGCATTTGCTGGGGAGCTGGTGGTGCTGTTGTGGGTGTCAGTGGTGTTCAGTGCATTAGCGGCGCTATTCGGCATCTGCTTTTGCTTCTGTACTCTGCACTTTTTGTCCTTAGACTTCTTGGGACTGGGCCGGGCAGTTGTGCTCGACGTGGGTTGCTGCATGCCCAGGGTGAAGTTAGTGCAGGGGTCTTGGTGCATCAGAGGCGTGCGCAGCACCACCACCCGTATGAAGCAGGGATGATCCATGGGCACCAGCGGATGTGGGCAGAGCGGCGGCGTTGAGTGCGGTGCCGAGGCATCATGGCACGCCCCCGCAAAGTCGCTGCACTCCTCACTGTCGTCGCTCTCGAAGTCCTCCTCGAACAGCTGGCTGCTGTCCATGGGCAGGCTGTCCTCGCACGGCACTGAGGAGGCATACTCTATGGGCGGCGATCGTTGATTGCGTCCACTCACATCTACGCTATCCATGCGCAATATATTCTGCATCATCTCCAGCATTTGCAGCTCGCGTTTGGGCAGCGCCGAGCTAGGTTTCGTGTTGGAGTTGATATTTGGATATTTATGGATTGGATTTGGGCATCTTTGATTTATCAACTTACCCGATGCTGGGTCCACAGAGCAACACCCACAGCAGCAGCAGCAGCCGCGGCGGCATCGATATAGTTGTTGGCGTCTTGGCAGTTTCCATGGAAATGTTGCCACAGCTCGGTCAGCGTTTGGCTTTTGTTTTGTCTGGCGGCGTCTCAAATGATCGACGGCACACGTAGCGGACCGATACCAAGACTGCTGCTGGGGCCACAGCTCAAACGCTGCGCTCTCACTTTCGGGCAATTGAGATGCACTACCCACAGTAGCCCCCGCACCGCCCCGCCCTTTTCCGCATCTCATGCCAAGCATCTCAGTTGATTCTGGGCGATTTTCGGTTGCCCAAAAATCATCAGAGCTTCTGGTCTGCTTTCTCATTAGAACGTCGCTGATCGACCATCGCCGGTCTTCGCTTTCGTTCGCTACGTGACCTCAGGGCAGAGTTTGCCAATTTTTGTTTTTTTTGTTTTTGTTTTTGTTTTCTTTTTCTTTCAATGTTTTCATTTATTTGTTATTTTTTTTATATATTTTTTTTTTGTGTTTACTTTTCCATTTGCTTTTCGCTGTTGTTGCTCTACTCGATTTACATTTTGTTATAATTCTCATTTCTTTTGCTACCCTATGTATAAAGCGTATACGGCTATAATGTGGTAAATATTATTTATTTTTTTATTGTGCATATTGTACAGTTGTGTTAGTTAAGGCAGGTCATATAATTTAATAAAGTGTAAAAAAAATCCACAAATGACAGTTATTAAATTGATACAGATTTTTCTAAATATATCTTAGTATTTTCTAATTAATTTTAAAATTTAAATTTAAACGTAATTTATTTTCTAAAAATAGTTTTTGTTATAGTTATTATTATTGTTAGATCTTGATAATTATAAATTAATTTTAAAAAAATATTTTTCAAATGTATTTTTTATTATTATCATAATTATTATAATTTTTATATTTTTTTAATAAACTAATTAGTTTGCTTAATGTTATTTATTTTTAATTATTTAATTATTATCATTATTATTATTATTTTTTTTTTTAATAATTTTTGTTAGCATATGCTTGAGTAGCATGCAGCTTTACTGATTTTCAGCCTTGGATAAAAAAAAAAAATTGCAAATTAAATAATTGAATATGTTATTTTATTAAGCTATCATATAATCTAGAACTTAGATAGTTCGACTCAACGAGTTGTGTCTGCTTTGCTCATACTTTTCCCAGCTGTCCATCAAACTGCTAGCAGCTGAGCGCATTTTGCAGAGCATCTGCTCGTCGAGCAATTACGAGCCGAACATTATATGTAGCTCTTGTTAGCATTTGATGTTACATGTCTGTCGCCTTGTTGCAGCTTCATGATAATCACTTTTTGGCCAGGGGCGAAGAGGTTTATTGTTGTGTCTGGTTTTTGCTTTTTTTTATGGATCTATGCAAGTGTTTTTCGTTTTGTGGGTGCTTCGCTGTCTGGCTTGAGTAAATAATGCTGTCAGACAGTTTGTGGTTTTGCACCGCATGAAAGAGAACAGCAACAACAACATTAACAAATGCTGACAGCAGGTTTTAGCTACTTCTCTGTGCAATTATCTAAGCTTTGCAGATGAGCTGAGATCATGTCCAATTTTAATGGGTCTTAATTGAGGGGGCTTATTGTAATGACTAATAAATGCGTTGCTCTTGAGGAAAAAAACAGGTAACAAGTCTATGTTTTACTTTTACATTATAATTAAATTATTGAAGTGCTAATAATCTGTAAGCTTTAAGATATATGTATTAATAAAAATTGCCATTATTATAGGCTATTATCATTATTAACATAAACTTTCCCTACCCAAAGAGTGGAAATAGAACCAGATTATCTAATCTATCTGAGCAAGCAACGCTTTCAAAAATTGCGGAATCATTATTGCAGAATCATTCAAGCACACTTTATGGAATCAATTTGTTTATTAAAAGATTTAAATTTCTGAACGCCATAAAGATAGTCGATATAAATAATCAGACCACGCGCTTGGCTGGCAGAATGCAAATTATGAAAAGAGTTTACAGTTATGATAAGCGGACTGAAATGGGAATATGATAACATTTTATGTTTGAATCAAGTGATTTCTTTATGGCACATCAAAAACATCATATAATGGAAAAATAGTAATACGAAAGAGCGCTAGTAGACTTTTAATAAAATGTTGGATTTGGTAAAATTAATAAATATATCTATTAATATATGTATGTACAAAATTAAAAATAATTTTTATATAATTTAATCATATATTTAAATTTGTATTAAAGAACATCATGTTATTCACTTGAATGTGAAACTGACTTGAGCACTTGTTTATGCTCTGCTTGAGATTTTCTTAGCATTCCCCACATCAACTATGTATGTTATTCTTGAGCTTTGCCTTCCTCTCTCCGTTAGGGAATTTATGTATGTAGCTGTTGCTTTTGCCACATGCCGAGCTGTCAACGTGTCACTGCAAAAATGCGCTAGACAAATGCTCGTAGTACTCCTAACGTGGTTCGAACTGCAAAAAAGACTTCAGCTTAAATAACATTCGAGTGTAATCAAAGAGAAGTGGGTGAAAGTAAATATTTTCATTTGGGCTCGTTTCTATGCATTTATATTTCGAATTACTCAGACTCGACTATATAAATAATCTTAAAGGAAAATTTCTGCTTCTTATAGATTGTCAAAGACAAATACGATATTGAGTGGGAGAATTTCACATATGTGTTTAAAGATTGTTAGTTCGACAAGGCTTCAAATTGCTAAAGCAAATATTTGTGCTTTTCGACATGGAATATTGAGGCAGGTCAAGTAAGCAAACAGTTAGTTTAAATATTGTTTCCGTGTTTGCCTTATATACAAATATCTATGTCAACTAAGCTTGTCTGAAATTTTCTCGCAGCCTGCTAACAGCAATCTTCTATTAAATTAGAAAATAAATATATCAAAAATATAAAACACAAATTTACAATTGTAAAACATCAAATAGGACTGTCGAAAGGAATGCCCTTCTGCAGATATAGCAGTTCTATCCTCGTCGTATATTAAATATGTAATCAGCCCAGTGACAGACAACAAGAAGGCTGCCAAGGAGCTGCCTGGGCAAAAAATGTCCTGTTGAAATGCTTTCTTTTTTTCTAATTTTTTTTTTCGATGTCGTGCCTAGTTCGAGAATTTGTTGCCGTTGCGTTCGTGGAAATGTTTACAGCTCTACACACGCATCATGTTCAACAATGTTGACAGAGCTTATTCGTATCAGTGTCAAGGTGGGCACCGGCTGTCTAGGGGCGGTGGGTGTGACGCAGTCCTGACAGTGCTTAACGAAAAAATGCGTGGCAAGCGACGGCTGTCTACACAAAATTTGCATACAGCCATGCGCTACGGTTTTATAGCCAAATCCTTTGTTGTCTTCAAGCCATGTCAAGTTTTCGATTTTGTACACGTTGACATGGAAAAAATGAGATATTGGATATATGATAAATTTAAGCTGTTCTGCAACATATGGTATTATGGGCTTTAACGAACTTTGTCGTCATTTGAATGTAAACAATATTTTATTATTTATTTAACATGAATTATTTAATCAAATATTTATTTATTTATTTTTAAATTGGTTTGGAAATAATTTTTTTGCAAAAGTTAAAGTTTATTCTGCTAGTTTACCGAGCTGTGTAAAGTAAATATTAAATTAAGTAAATATAATATTTCCACAAAAACATGTATAAATATTAATTGCAAATCATTTAATTTATGCAGGAGAAGATGGATTTGCTTTTTGGAAATTTCATTTAATTAAATGCACGCTTATATTTTTTAATTGGTTGCCACATGAGCAACGAAATCGTGAAACTAATTTATGCTTCAATTAAGTTTAAGCTTGCGCTTAGTAAAGAGGATGCCTCAATGGACTTTAAATATGATTTTAAATTTATGAAGCTTTATTCATTAAGCTGTTGCAGTTAATGCCTGAATTTACGCATTTATTCTCAATATTTTTGGGTTTCCCTTATGACTTGTAATTGCAGATATCAAACTGAGATATATATATATAGCTTTTCGGTGTATATAATATTTATATAAATAAATATTCCATTGTTTGAATGAGATATTAAGTTTATATTGGCATCATAATCCTATATGAAAATTATGGGGAGATATAGAATATACATATATTGTTCTAAAGTATGTATACTATGTAGGATGCATTTTAAAATTATATAATATATATTAAAAATATAGAAAATATAATGGATATATATTTAAATATTTATCTATGGAACAGCTTTAAGTTCTATTTGATTTTCAATAAACATAATATTTATTTACAACATAATATTATTTTAATAAATTAATTTTTTTCGCCACGCCCAGGTGTATTAATGCAATAAAATCTCTGAAGCTGTTTGCATTGCTATCATTTCGATATGTATATATGTATATTTCCTAATCCACTTGACTCATGACTTTGCACAAAATGATAATATTAATTCTTTGTTGACTATATTTATATTCGATGGTGTCACAGACATTTTCTACCTAAATGTGTATAAAAACTGAATACAAGTGTATATTTGTCGGCTTTGCTTGCAATTTCGCAGACTTAAAATCTCAGCTTTGTCTGTGTTTACAGATGTTAAGAGCTCTCCAATGCCTAGCCTAGGCACACTCAACTGTTGCTGGGTAGCGTGTGTGTCTGTCTGGGGCTGTGTGTGTGCTAAGTAACGTCGCGTGGATATCGTGAGTGGGCAATTTGAGTTTGAGAGTTGTGCGAACTAGTGTTGACAAAATACAAATATTTCCCAATTGCTGCCCTCGCGCCAGTTCGTTGCGGTTCATTCCTGGTGATTCTCGTCTGTTTCGGCGGTGTAATAATGAATGCGATTCGGGAACAGCCAAGATTTGGCAAACTGAAAGTAAAGTGCAATTAAAGCTAATCAAGGCATCAAGTGCTGCCCGGTTTGACCCCATTTAGACACATTTGCGGCTTATGTGAAACTTTTTATTTCATTTCATTTTCATGTATTTGTTTTTTTTTTTTTTTTTTTGTTGGTTTTTGGTTTGTTTTTTGTTTTTTTGTTTTTATTTTTTTTTTATGTTTAAATACTTATGAAAATTGTTGTTGTTAGCTTCTGCTTTGTGTTGTTGTTCATATGAGTGATGTGAGTTTTTGTTTTATATTATTATTATTATTTTTTTCTTTTTTTGATAAATGAAGTTTTTGCCATTTTTTTGTAGATTTTTTTCTTGTTGTTGTTCTGAATGCGACGGCAGCTAACTGTTACTATATATGTTAATATCTATAATATAAATGTAGGTCTATGCTTGTATATTTATGTGTGTGGGTGTGTGTGAATGCAAGTGTGTGCATGTGTGTGCGTCAGAGAGAAAAAGTGTGTATGTTGTGTAGTGTATGATTCTTGTTTGTGTTGTTGGCATTTCTATCCTTTTCTCATATCGTTTTCGTATTTGCTTATCATTTTCATCAAAGTTGATTTCAAGTTAGGAATGGAACAAAATACAAGCAAAAAACGAAAGAAAACTTTACAAATTACAATTAAAAAGTACAAAGAGAGCGTGATCCTTCGATAGAGACAGATCTTTAGTTAGATGGATAGAGAGAGAGTGAGAGAGAGAGAGGAAGAGAGAGATTGACAGATTGAGCGAGATAGAGTTACAGAGATACAGTGCTCGAAAGGAAATCATTGGTGGGGCTTGCCCACTTATTTACAAAAGTATTTGTCCTCGAAGCGCTGACAATAGTCACAGATCAGCTGGCAGCACAGGCCATTGCTGAATCGGCAGCGACAATTCTCCACCTGTTTAAAGACGCGTGTGGTATAGCCACGCCCACAGCACAAATTCGCACAGTTATCGGGATGCAGACACTGGCGATCCTTGGTCACCGAGCAGTAGGTGGGCGAGGAGTCCAAATAATACAGCGTTGTGTACTGCGATTGCTCCTGCTGTGCGACATGAAATAAAATATAGAAAAAAATATATATAGTAACTGGAGAAAGATAAAGAATATATTAGAGAGCTATATGCTCTCCATGTAGCTTACTTTCTTACGTCGCTGCTTTGGTTTTTTCATGCGACTCGATGGGGCCTGGCGCATGGTGCGCTGGTTGGGCGCCTTCCGTATGGCCTGGTTGTACTTCTGGCGCAGCAGCGTGGCCGTGGCATTGAAGTCAGCCATCTTCTTCCAGCAGGTCTTCATCGAACAGGAGCCGGAGACACCGTGGCACTTGCACTTGTCCATCATCAGCGTGGAGACGGCCTCAATGCCAACCTGATTAGTTCAAGTTGAATTATTATTAATACTATTTATTTATATTTTGATCTATGTCAAACTTACCTCAGAGTCATGTCGCAATATCTCAGTGACCTCGTCCCCATCGCCGCCGCGCAAGTCGAGAAACTTGCGCGTGACGCGTTTGCCGTGCTTCAGATTGTCGTTGCATCCGCCCCACTGAAAGTCCTGGTCCATGCGATTCTGTTTGCTCGGCCCGCAGCTGCATTTGGTCATCCGGCCCTCGGCGCAGGCGCGTGCCACCGAGTGGGTCATGGCTGCCGCTGTGAGCGCATGCACAAAGGCCGTTTCCTTGTAGAGTTTCTTGAATATGTTGCGCTTGCCGCGCGTCTCGATCGAACAGTTCCAGCGATCGTAACGGAACTGATCCTCACAGTGGGTGGTGGCCAAGCGTCGTGCCTCGCTTAATGTGGCCGGTAAGCCCGTCTCCTTGCGGCACTGATGATTCTGGCGCCGTGTGGCAGGCATATAGCGACACGGGCCGCCCACCTGGCCCTGCGATGTGAAAACGGCCATGACTGTGTGCTCCGAGATGAAATGTTCGCTGTAAAATATACAAATATTAGATAAATTATTTTTAAATATTTTTCGATTTTTAGAATTTTTAGTTTATAAAAAATATTTATTTTAATTGTTTAATTCAAATGATATCAAAACGTTCCAGCAGTTTTGTGGTTTGTGTCATTGCTAAAATGCCTAGCAGCTAGAAATTAACGAAATTTCGTTAAGTTTGTTAGGCTGTTATGTCTTTGCTAAGCGTGTACACAAACCAGTGGGTGCAAAATCAAGTGCGGGAGCAACAAGCTTTTTGTCAAGCTCAAACTGGTTTATTTTGAATTTCTGGAACTAGTAACTGGAATTCTGTAAATCAACATTTAAAAATGTATAAAAAATGTGCAATTTACACAGAAAATAAATATTACATGTGTAATTGAATTTGATTGTATTTGTATTACTAGAAATTTCTCGACAGATAAGACACACCCATAATTGCTGTAAGAATTGATAGAGGAAAACCTCTTTTTCCTTATCAGCTGTGACCCGTTATGAAAATTCCAAGAATTGCAGAGCATTTTGGCAGAGTTTATAAAGACTTTTATTTATACCACTATTTATTCGGGGCTTGTTTTTTTAAGTGTATCTGCTCTGTTTTCATAATTCCGCCTCGCTTCCTGTCCAGCTTTGGGCAACGTGCAACGTTTCTCACTCGCGTGCTCAAACCCACACACACACACACGCACTCTCTCTCTCTCTTTCTCTGTCTCACGCTCTCTGTGATTTGCAGGAAATCTTAAATTCTCATAAAACTTAAGTGCACCGTAAATTGGCGTATGAGTAACGATCTCAGCATTTCATGTCTATTTCCGTCTACGTCGCCGCCTCGGGGCAAACACATCGGCAACGCGCGCCGCTTATTGCCTCGGTTTACCTCTAGCCTCGACCCATAACAATTATGCTATGCTCCGCCCACCGCCCACCGTCCACTGCCCACTGCCCACTGCGTGCCGCCCAGCTGTCCGTTTTGATTTAATTTTTGCCTCTTCATAATTTGTTTTGTTTTGCTTTCTTGTTCTTCTTCATCGTCTTCTGTTGCACGTAATTTAGTTGTTGCGTGTGGGAAAAATCGCGCACGTTTCTAATGCGAAATTAATTTGGCTAGATGTTTGGCAATTAATTAATTAATCAAGTGCTTCCAACTGTTTACAAGATGCTCGACTTTGCTCCACGCGGTATTTTGTTTGGAGCTTGCGCCTCAGCGAATTTTTATCTATTTATCTCCCGCTGCTTTATTTCGATATTTGACGTAGTTTTCGATTTGATTAAATTATCATTTGCAAATGGATTGCCTCAGCTGCGAGATGTGTACCTGGGTTAGTTATGTGGCTCTAGCTGAGTGGAAACAATTTCATTCATACAAACAATGCGAAGGCTGCACATTCCTAAACAAATTCATCAGCATGTCAATGATTCTATGTATACGATTCAGAAGTGATATCATATTGAATCTTTGGATTGCCGGATATTTAGTAATAGGAGGATATTGTATATGTATGTATGAATGTAAAACAAGACAGGCGCAAATGGATGCAAATGGATTTTAAAAAATTTATTTATATTCATTTGTATATTTATGAATATATTCAATTTTTGCGATTTTTTTTTTTTTTTATAGCGAATATCGAGTTAACTATATATATAATTCAATTTAATTTTAAATATAATATACTAATAAGTGCAAATATATCAAATACAGTTACTCTTGAATTCTAAATTATAAGATTCGAAATAAAAAAATAAAATATATACAAAATAATAATGAAACAATTTAATAATGACAAAAACAAAAACAAATTTAATAATGAAACAGTTTTACTAAGAGTATAAGACAATCTTTTAGCATTCCCAACAAGAACCAAGTTACAACATGAATATATATATATATATATATATATAAAGAAAACATTATATGAAAATGAAATCGATCAAATATAAAATCTCTCGACTTTTTAATTTGTTTATAAATTTTATAAAATTGGTTTAAGTGAGACAAATTGGTTTAATGATAAAATATGTATATTATTTTGTTTTAATATTCATTTATTATTTTCTTTAATATATATTTACCATATTTAGATAAAAATTATTTAATTTAAATAAAATCTCAAAGCTGCATCAACTGAAATACCTGAGTTCATGGCCTCACTTAGTTTTATAATGAATATTTATACAGAAATATTTACGACTTTGATTCAAGCAAATGCTGATCGATCTCAATCAATGTGCTTTTGTATATTTATCCATTGTATCAACAACGATTTGACGCAACAACAAAAGACAGTCTTCAATTACAGCTTAAATCTCATGTAAGTCGTTGTGTAAGCTTAACCATTGTTGTTCTCATTGTTGTTGTTGTTGCAAGTGCAGTGCAAAGCGCATTAGTCAAAGCCCACATATGAGAAGCTGCCCCCACACACCCCACATGGCCCCATGGCCGTCCCCCTGCCACTCTGATATTCTCATGTTACCCACTTCAAGTTGGTTAATGTGTGTCGCCTTATGGCATGGAACATGTGGAATTACCAGCTCAGTTCGACTGTGTCTGAGTGCGAGTGCGAGTCTGAGTGTGAGTGTGAGTGTGAATGTGAGTGCGAGTGTGCGGGTGTGGGGGCGTGTCACTTAATCCTTTTGACAAAACGTTTACATGCGAAATGAAATACAATTAGCTATGCAGGTGGGCGTGGTTGTAAGCGAGAGAGAGAGAGACAGAGAGAGAGAGTGAGAGAGAGAGGGAGAGTGAGGCAGGAGTAGCGACTTGTGTGCACTTTAATTTCACAAATTTAGCTGCCAGCAATTTGTATCTATGAGATACAAAGTAGTTGAAAGCTATTAAAACGGCCACAGAGCAAAACAAACTGTAAAGAGCTATTGTTGCTGTTGTTGTTGTTGTTGGTGGTGGTGCTGCTTGGCAGGCCAAACAACAAATTGATAGGCAGACAGACGCATGCACGGACGTACGGATGTGTGCCAGCAAACACAAGAGAGAGAGAGAGAGAGAGATAGAGAGAGAGAAAGACAGAGAGAGGGATAGAGAGAGAGAGAGAGAGAGCGAGAAAGGGGCGACTATAAAACAAAAGTGTTGATGGATATTTTCCTCGTGCGCTGACTGACTGACGACAACGGCATTGAAGTTGTACCTAGCTGTTGCTGATGATATACCATGCACTCAACATGATTATTATAGAGGGTATGCTCAAGGCCTGAAGGAGTTGGGCTCATAAAATATTTGCATTTTGAAGTTGTATCTTTGTTAGTTTATAGATTGCATATTTTAATAATTTTATTGTGAGTCTCTGTCGTTCCTAAAATATTTGCATTTTTTTTATTAATTTATTTTATTTTAATATTTTAATATTATCTTGACATTCCCATTTTGAATTTGAATTATATGTATTATTGTTTTACTTTTTTATAGATTAGAAATTTTAATATTTTAGTTATGATTGATTGCAATTTGGCAAATATATTTATTTATATTATATATATATTATATGTTTTTATTATTTTATTTTTATTTTTATTTTTATTTAAAAAATTAAGTCAAAGTTATTCTTTTTATGTGATTGAAGTAGATATTTTTATAACTCTTTCAGCTGGTTTAATTCATAAATGGGACTGGAAATTAAGACATTTATATTTTATCTTTGCACATACTAAATATCTATCTCTAAAGCACTGCTAAAATAAAACTGTTATGCTGAAAAAAAAAAAAAAAAAATACCGAGGGTATTATGCCGTCCAACCTTTGAGCATTAATTTACTTATTTTAGTCTTAGTTGTTGTTGTTGCTGCTGCTGCTTTGAGTGCTACGCATTTGTACAGATTCATCAAATTTTCAGAAACGTAAAATATTTAACACACACATGCACACACTCACACACAGACACAAACACGCACACACACATACGAGAAAGAAATCCCTTTGTGCTGTGGCAAAAGCATTTTATGGACTTACAGTTTAAGTCGCCGCAACAGCAGCAGCAGCAGCCAAAGAGCATATCAAATGTGCAGCAGCAACAGCAGCAACAGCAGCAGCAGCAACAGCAACTGCTGCAGCATCAGAAAGCGATTTGAAAGTAGTTCGAAATTGAAATCGACACAGGAACATAAAATCTGTTTAAAGTAGCATATGCATATGAGCTGAGTTGGCTGTGGACCGAGGCGCTGGCTCTCTTTCGTTATTTCTTTATTTTTTTATGGACTTTTACCATTTGCATTTTATTGCCAAAACATAAATGCAGCTGATACCAGCCTCCCCCAGCCGTGCCAGAGTCATGCCCACTTTATTTATAAATCGCTGCACGAGCTACCGATTGTTGTGGGATTTGGATTCGATTCCTCATCTGCGCCGTTGGCGTTCTGTTTGTTTTCTTTGGCCATTGGCCTGTCACATAATTTCAACTGAGAACTTCAATTAAAACGCATTGGCCAATTGCAAATGCGAAATTGAAAATTGCGAATTGCAAATTGCAAATTGCAAATTGAAACTTAATCGCATTGTTTTGTAAATGGGCAAACGGCAAATGAGGCAACTGCCTGCGAGGCGCATTCACTTTAAGTGGCAATGGGACAGACCGTCAGACAGCCTGAGACAGCCAGCAAGACATTCAACTTGGTCGAGTTGACAGTGTCTGTCCGTACGAAGTATGCCCCACAGATTCGCTTGGTTTGCTTTAATTGATGGCAGTCTATTGCAGCCATTGAGCCCTCAATGCGGAATCCATTAATTGGGAATGGAGGCTAATGAGCCATCCGATGCTTGAGCAATTTCAACTTCTATGGCCATTAATGACTAAGGACAGTCGATTGGCTTTTTATAGACTGGAAATAATCGTATGACAAAATGTTCCAAAAAATAAAGCTATATTATTCTTAATTGTTTATGAAGCCTCATTCCTTGATATATAGTTTTCTAATTTTTATGTGAGTCCATGAAAAATGTTTGTACATAAAATAAATAAACCTCAAATTAGAGCTTTTACGAAA